GGCAAATCGACTAGAGTCCAAGTCTGATTTTCGTGTAATGAATTAATTTCGTCGTCCATAGCATTATTCCATTCATTTTTGTTTGACCCAGTAATTGCCTCATCATAATTCAATGGACTGACACAGTTAGCAATAAAAGTCTGAACATTATACCTGTCCGGCTTCTTAAGTGTATTCCTGTCACGAAGAACCATAACATTTCTATCATCGACTATGTTTTCGTCCTTCTCACGCACTCCCGTTGAATTAATTTGAGTGTCTGTAAACTCTAATGTGTCTGCAATTACATTTTCATAATTATTACATTCGTCTTCGAATATAATATCTCTGCACACGGATATTTTATTTGTTTTCGAATACCATACACTATAACCTTTCGTGCTGTTCGAATATCCAACAAATATTCCTTTTTCACTTTTTGGATCCTATTTCTGACGTTTTTGCTTTGGTATGTGTGTATATACCGCAGTATCAAAAACTCGTAAATGTTTAATATCTGGCACGACTTTATAATATAACTCGTAAGGTGGCTTACCAATCTGTGAACTCGTTCCAGTTAGATTAAGTGTATAAACCGCTGTGTTCACAGCTTCTGCCCATAATGACACGTCAAGATTTTTCGCACATATCATTGTCCTGGCAGCTTCTACGATTGTTCTGTTATCACGCTCGACTTTCCCGTTCTGTTCCGGCGTATATGCTACCGTAGTTTGGTGTCGTATGCCATATTTCTGTAGAATACCTGTAATGTCCTTGTTTACAAATTCTAACCCATTATCTGTCCTTAATATTTTGACTTTAGATCCTGTTTCTGTTTTAACACTTTTATAAATGTTTCCATAATATTTTTTACTTCATATTTATTCTTAATAAAATATACCGTTCTGTAATGTGAGTAGTCATCTCTAAATAGTAAAAAATATTTTGACATACCGATAGAGTCCCTCTGCATCGGTCCACATAAATCTGCATGTATTAAATCGCCGACGTTAAAATATTTGGTCTCACTTTTACTGAACGATTGACGGTGTTGTTTCCCGATTATGCAGTCGCTGCATACAAATTGATCGTCCTTGGCTGAATAATCAATATTATGTTTTGCCAAACAATTCCTCACGTATTGAATATTCTGGTGAGCTAAACGCTTATGCCATACTTCTAATCGTTTTTCTACTGCAATGTTCGCATAACATTCAGCTTTCGATGGTGCTTCGACTTTGATCTGTAATTCAAACAACCTACCGCATCTTGTGCCTATGCATACAGGAATCCCGTTTCTTTTGAACACACACGTTTTACTGTCTGACGTTAGTTCTAAACCTTTGTCTAACGCTGACCCGCACGAGAATAAATTAAATTTTAATCCCGGCACGTGCAATACATTTGCCAAGTAATTTTTATTCCAATTACCGTTCACGTATGATAATATATTAATATTACCTTTTCCTGTTGCATTGTTCCGTCACCTATTGTTACCTGTTGTGTATATTTCAATGGTTCATAACTTGTAAACCATTCTAGGTTCGCGCTCATATGATCCGACGCGCCTGAGTCTAAAACCCACGTATCTGTTGAAGTTTCATTTATCCTTGACTCGCTTACAAATGCATTTAAATTTGTACCTGTAGTACCGGTTTTCCCACCTTTCATACTACTTAGAAAATTCTTACAGTTTCTTTTATAATGACCAATTTTACCACAGTAATAACATTTAACATTATTTTTATTAGTAAATTGTTTTTTTACCTTTACCATAACTGCCGTTTTTTCCATCGGATCTGTTTTGAAATTTGGCTGGAAATGCACTCGATTTCTCTTGTTCACCAACTTCACCTTTGATCTGGATAACCCGTGATTCTTCAATCAACAACCGACTAGTTAAATTATTTATATTTTTACTTCCCGTTGGGACTGAATCCCAAGCACTGTAAAAATGATTATATTCTTTTGGTAATGTCATTAGTATTTTTGTCATAACCATGTTATCCGTAACTGGTTCACCCGCTACTCTCAGTTTCCTTCCTAAATTGACCAATTTAGAAATATGCGTCGACATGTCATCTGTCGACTTCTTTGAATAACTGAAAAATTGTTGTTGAAGCAAATGTATACTTGCCTCAGACTTCTGCTCGTAAATACTCAGCAGTTTCTCCAACATTTCCAATGCAGTCTCACAGTTAATCAAATATTGTAATGGACCATCGTCCACTGAGGTAACTATTATTTTCTGACATTTACCATCCGCTTTTTGCCCAGCGTTTGTCTGCCTTTGCCAACGTGTTTTGGCATCCTCGTCGGTCTCTCCTGCCGACTTTTTTTATAGGTAGACTTGGTTTCGTCCATTCACCTGAAACTATCTCACCTACTTCCAAGGCATTTAGAATGACCTTCATCTGGAATTTCCATAACGACCAGTTTTCCGCACATAATTTTGTTATCTTCACCGTGTCTTCCATGACCGAAGATTTCCCGTATACTTGACCTGTATAACAATTTATAACAAAACTTTACCTATGTACACTGTTCCGCCGTTTTCCGAAATCCAGGATATCTCCGACTGGTTGTAGTTTTCTGCGTTAGTACAATTATAAAAATACTTCGATCACGAATCCACTAGACTGTATGTCTTGGCTATTGACTGGGCCCATAACCTGTTGAAAGTGAAGCTTGACGGACTAATGATGTTAGCATTAATATAATAAGTAATAACACGACAATATGATTATGTATAAGTATAATATATAATAACGTACAACTGGACAATTAAACTGTGACTATACACACACACCGCGTACACTCGGTATGACAGCGTCTGTGCAAGTAAATATTACATACATCAAAGGCCCTATTTATATGAACAATCGAGGCCATCCCGTATCCGTATATAATATAGAAAGCGATAGTAAAGGTGTTACACAGCTATATCGTAACTGCATAAGTATCTATTAGAAAACGACATTGTACACGCACGTGTGTTTACATGGTTTGAATACTAATATTAATTGTATATTTCAACAGAAATAATATTGAAAATTTGAAGGTATTTATACACGGTTTTGGATTAAAGAAAATAATGTAAAAATTGATCCATTGAGTAATATAGATATAAATTATTTTGGAAATAAAATAAAAAATTATAGAGGGTGTTTTATGTTAAATGAATTACCTACAACACCATGGGAAAATGAATGTGGAGTATTTAATTTAAATGATTCTACTCAAAATGGTTCTCATTGGGTTGCATGGAAAAAAATAAACAATACATTTAAAATATATTTTGACCCATTTGGTCATATAGTTGGTGAGCCACCAAAAGAACTTTTAAAATATTTGGGTAAAGTAAATCTTTTTTGTACTGTTTCCCAATTTCAATACTATAATGATCCACCTATATGTGGTTATTTATGTTTAGAATTTATTGAAAATTATAAAAAATTTATTTAAATATCATATTTTTTTAATAGAAAAATTTCTATTAAAAATAACAACTCGTTTAATATATATTTAACAACGAGTCAACGAGTCGTTGTTTTTTTTTTTACGTTAACGTTGTTTTTTAACAACTCGTTGTTTTAATAATTCGATGTTAAAAAAAAATATTTTCTTATATAAATAATAGAAATGGAAAATATGAGAACACTTTTAAATTTGATTGAACAACAACGTAAAATTCTAAGACCTATGTTTAATGATAGTGATATTGATAATGTGTGAAAATGTATGGCGCCCATATTCACCTACTAATTTCATCAGGATTTGAAGACGTTTACGGTAGATTGTATAGGTGGGTGCACACACCTATGCAATCTACTGAAAAACTGTCGTTGACCTGCCGAATGAAGCACTTAAGTAACTTCACTGCCCACGATAGCTTTGCAGATATCTGTAAAAGAGTTTTAGATATTTGAAACCATAAGTACCGGTTGTATTTATCAAATCATTAGCTATTTTACAAATTTCAAGCCATGTTGGCGATTCTAGTATTTTAGAAACATAAGCTTTCCATTTCCAGAAATATTGTTTCCATGATCGACGATTAAAATATTTCCTTTAATTGGAATTTTAGTTAGATTATATTTCATAATTTTAATATTTTTTTATTATTAGTATTATAGAATTCATATTTACAGAACTTAACATGATTTCATTATTTAATATTGATTTTTCTATTTCGTTTTGCATTTCATTTTCTTGTATCTTATTAAATTTTTTTATAGTTTCCATTCTTTTATTATAAATTTCAATTCCTTTAACTCAGGTATTCAATTTCTTTTTAATAAATTTTTTTGCATTTTGATTTTTATTTTTAATATAACAATTCTATTAAAAAATATTTTGATTATTATTGCATTTCGATTTTAATTATTAATAATTAAGTTTTGCGGAAAATATTTTTATTATTTTTGCATTTCATAATTTGTGCGAAAAATATTTTTATTATTATTGCATTTCATAAGTTTTGCGAAAAATATTTTTATGATTATTGCATTTCAATTTTCTGATCTTTTTGCACATTGTTTACTTTGTGATCTTTTATTGATATACAATGAGTTGCGCCAGGAATGGCACATTTATACTACTAAGGCGTTTAATTTATTAACCAGCGTAACATTTGGTCCATCAGCCGGATCGCAAGAGTGTCGTGTATTATCTCTTGTCGATTTCAATCGGGTTAACGTGTCAGTGAAATTCAAAAATAAGTTCGTATTGAAAGTTCACATCGTGGGATGAAGTAACCAATAAAAATCAAGGTAAGAGAGTCATTCCTATCGTATAAAAAGTTATCATAGTTCCCTTATTCCTTAAACTACAAAATAGACACGTATTGGTTAGGTAGAGTTAGCAATTCGTAGTTAGTAAAATTAATTATTTATAAATAATAAAAACTAACAGAGTCCGTCCATAGCAGATAGGTACAAAGTACAACTTGTAGCAATAATCATATAGATTATATAATTATTGGATATTCCATTATTCAATAGTTTAAATAGGGCGACACAATGAATGGTTGTCAATTATATCTATATACAAGAGCATTAAATATGGTTGAAAACATACCAGCATTGATAGCGCGAAGAGGCCAATTAAGGGCAGCGATAACTAGATTCTCAACTTATATACAATCAGAAGGACGAGAAGTCGTACAGATTGAGATTCGTAAAGCAAAAATAGAAGAGAACTGGTACGAATTTGAAAAGATACAATCGGCAATAGAAGACAACGATGAAGAAATTCGAAATACAAGTGAACATTATCCCTACCGAATAGAATTTGAAAACTTGTACTTCAAGATCATGTCAGAAAAGCCGAGATAAGTATAAGAGCGTCAAAAAAGGAAAATTCGAAGGTTGAAATATACAATTTAATCGATTGGGGTCAATCGAAAGAAAAAACACAAAGAAACAGTACTAAATCAATAGTCAGATTGGCTCCATTGAATATACCCGTTTTTTTCAGGAAAATATGACGAATGGATGTCATTAAAGGATATTTATACGTCTGTAATACATACTAACGAGGACTTGACAGCCATAGAAAAGTTTTTCTATTTAAGGTTATCTCTGTCTAACGACGCAGCAAGTTGTATAAAATATTTGGAAACTCCCGCAACAAATTATGATACAGCTTGGAAAAGTCTGATCAATCGACAAGACAACAAAAAAATTTTGATACAGACGCACGTAAAAATTATTGTAGATTTGCCTTCAATAAACGAGAGCAACTCGACAAAATTACATCAATTTTTCTGACGATCTCGTCAGCAAATATGAAAGCTCTAGAAACGCTTGGACAGAAGCCGAAAGAGTGGGGCCCGCTATTTTTGACGATATTATTACTGAAATTAAACAACGAGACGTTGAAAGAGTGGGAGATTAAATCGGTTAAGGACAAAATACCGTCCTTTACGGAATTAATCCAGTTCATAGAGGATCGATTCCAAATATCCGAATCCATTGAATCGTCGAAATATATAAATTCAGAGTCTGCAGCAAAGGAAAAAGGTCTTACAAAGTTTAGTAAAAATAATAAATACAAAGCCGCAACAAGTTCAACGGCATTTACATCGACAGTAACGGCTGATATGCGTGTAATCAGTCGCAAGCAGTAGGAAATAGCCGGTTCTGGCTCCCCCCGCTTCACCCCCACTCAGGCCCTGCCACCATGTGTCCTTCCCCCCACCACCACTCCCCCAGCCAATACTGCGCTTCCCAACCCACTCCCCCACCTACACTACCCCTCCCGGCCCCTCCTTGCCCAGCTCATCGTGCTTCTTTCCCCTCCCCACTCCCCTCACCTGTCATCAAGCTTCACTACGTCATCATGCTTCCCCTCCCCACTCCCCGCACCTGTACAGCTTCGTTCATTAATAGTATTCATTTGCGATCTGCGTGTTTGGGGTTTTTTTTGAAATTTTTTATTTTAAATAAGATTATTGTCAAAGTGATAGCGATGCCTAATTGTTGGGCGCCATTTGTAGTAAGGAGAAAATACACGGGGAACTATTTAGTTGAAAAGGGAGAATAGGCGGTAGGGGAAGGTAATGGTTATAGGGGAGAGATATGTGTGTTATAATAAATATTGGAGATTTCCGTATATGATCTCCCTACTACTGTGTTGTACCTAACTGTCTAATGATATTTGAATTACCTACTTTTATTATATGAACATTCAAACACTTACCTCACTCCAGCTGGTTTTCTTCTAAGTGGTTTGTAGTTCTTCGGGGTCGTGTTCGACAGTCGATTCACGATGACAATATATGTATAAACTTTTATGTGATCTGTAGGATTTCGTATATAATTTCTACCTGTGACTATCACCGTATGCTCTTAAAATCCTTGCATTAGTAATAGGAGTACGTATAGTCTCTCCGCCAACCGAATGTAATTTAGAGTGATAAATATTTGTTATTACACATTTATATCTTGAACACAGCTCTTAGAGTTCCTACATTCGTAACAACTAGTACGTGTAGTCCAATCGTCGACCGAATGTAATTTAAGTTAAGTGAGCACTTACTTCTATACTTATATTCTACGTATAGCTCTTAGAATCCCTACATTCGTAGCAACTAGTACGTATACTCCAATCGCCGACCGAATGTAATTTAAGTTAAGAGAGCACTGTTACTTATATACTCGTGTTCTAAGACATAAATGTGCAGTAGTGATGCAACAGGCCTATAGTATGATAATAGTCACAGAACCTTATGTTTTGAAAGACCAATGGATAGGTGAGTGTAAAAAGATGAACAATTTTAATTTAACTGTGAAAGAGACAACTAATTTAGACAGACATACCGGGTAAAGGAATGATTCAATATACATATATTGTATACGCATAAACGCACAGTGATGGCTTCGACAGTAGTGGAAAAAGATCGTGATGTTGACTGGCGTGGACGTTGTGCATGAGTCTTCTCCTGAAAGATACTGGCATGGACCATGTGTATCTCCGGAATAGACACTGGCGACGAGTCGATGCTCTGTGGCCCTTATATAATGTGATTTTGGTTGATCCCTTCTTCTTGTGCATCGATTAAAGTATTGATATATATTTATTATTTCGTGTGGTGCGACAACGGTACAGCTGGTAATTTTAAGTTTTGTTTTGACCGAACGTCTTGATTGGAGAATTATCGAAGGGGACTTGAAGTATATAATATATATATATATATATGTGTACGTACACGTGTGATGTACGTATATGTATATGAATGAATGCTTTCATGATTTTATAATATACGGTGTTTACTGGCGCCGTTGATATTTGATTGTGTTGTCTCCACTAAACGTCTGGTAGGAGAGGTGTAGAATATTATTTATGTGTTGCAGGTGCTGCGTGTATGTAAAAGGAGTGCGTATATTGTAAGTATATATGTATATATGTATATAATATATGATATATATAATATATGTATATATATGTATATATGCATATCGGACCACCCACACCCCATAGTATGGTCCGTCTTCATTATTTGTCTCGTGTTTTATTCTAAGTCTAAATATTATATATTACAGTTGGCTATGCCGCCAGTCAGGGATTCTAGAGCTGACAACCCGGCGAAAATCGGTATGAGTGGTAGCACACCGCCTTTTTTCGGAATATTTATTGTTCGTGGAACTTTAGTCTTCATAATTTTGAATGTTTTTCGCGCGACGGCTACACATTTTTTAGTCAATTTCATCAAGTTTTTTTCTCCGATATTTTTCTTTATAACATTTTTAGTGGCTTTAAGTGCTGCTTTAAAACCACAGCCGCCACCTACTTTACGTTTTGCTTTCATGGCAGTAGTCACACCCCAAGCCACAGCTTTTTCTTTTAGACTGGAATCTTTTGACTTGAATCTATCCCAAGCTCACTGCCCATAAGCGTGTTTATCAGGCCACTGCCTTTATTCTTGCTGCTTCTTCGAGCGAGTGACATCGTGTACTGATTACCATTACAAAATAAATAGGTATGTCAGCAACTCGTGATACGCATGTCTGAGCCGTAAGCATTTCTCCAACATTTTGAGCGGTGGAGTGGTGGTGGAGTATTCGGCGGCGGCTATTGCGGCAGTGACGGCTGTGGACCAATGAGAACCGGAGAAATGCTTACGTCACAGTAAAGGGCTGGGTGGAGGGTGGGTGCGCGATTTGTTTCTAAATCCGTAATATTGCTGACATACCTGTATAATTTGTCATGCTGATTACATTCTCATTGTTGCTCAGTTATTTATAATGAAGTTCATCAAACAAAAAATAAAACTATCAGTTTAAAATGTGGACCCGCCAACATCGTTTATGAAACAAAGACACGGGGCGCTCCTACCTAATACGATACGTGCCCTTATCGTGGGTCCTTCTGGCTGTGGAAAAACAAATGTAATTTTCACTTTATTAACCAATATAAACGGAATACGATTTCACAACGTATACATATATACAAAGACATTGGATCAACCAAAATATAAAATGTTGAGTGATATATTATCAGATATTGATGGTATAAAATTATTTACATTCTATGAAAACGAACAAGTTATTGAACCCGAGAAAGCTTTACCAAACTCTGTGTTTATTTTTGACGATATTATTACTGAAAACCAAAAGATTGCAAGAACTTACTTCTCCAGAGGTCGTCTTAATTTAGTTGATGTATTCTATCTGGCTCAGAGTTATTCAAAAGTACCAAAACAACTTTTGCGCGATAACGCTAATTTTATTGTATTATTCAAACAAGACGAAACTAATTTAAAGCATGTATACAATAAGCATTGCTCTGGCGACATGTCATATTCAGATTTTAAAGACTTTTGCACTTCGTGTTGGCGTCTGGGGAGATTTGAGTTTATCGTCATAAACAAAGACTGTGAACGCGACAATGGACGATATCGTCATGGATTTGACACATTCGTCGTTATATAAAGTGTTGTTATTGTGGAAATGATTCATTCGCAGTCATGGCTGTCAGTGGTGATGTACTCGGAGAACTGATTAAAGCCAAAGAAAATATCAAGCGCAAGTATACCGCATTAAAACAAGGAAAAACCGACATTCATTCATTAGTATCAGAAACGTTAAGTCCGATTATCGAACCATTAGAAAAAATAAAACGTTTCGGTCCATCAACATTTCAAGCTCCACCTACACAGCAAGACATTGATATTCAAGATTCTCAATATTTTAACAACACAGACGATTCGCTAGCTTTTAACGACTGGTTTAAGTCTTACGATATAGACAAGACGTATGGACCTAAAATACAAACAAATGGAAGTGTACACTTGGGTAAAAAAGAAATTAAACTCGATGATAATACGTTAACTATTGAAGATACATCATATCCACTAACACAAGGACTTGGTAATTTAATATTTTCAAAATCTCCAAAATTATACACCAAAAACGATTTAGAAACATATAAATCTATATTAATACAAACATCTTCGCATCTAAAAGCAGATGGGAAAAAAATTTAAAAAGGCAGAAATAAATATACAGATATAATCCAAAATCTGTTTCCATCAGGCGCTGGGTTGTCAGTTAAATTACAAAAACATAATTTAGTATACTGGAACGACCCAAACGAGTTAGTCGATCGATTTCGACTTCTTTTAGCTTCTAAAGCTTCTGGTAATACAGGCGTTTCGAATGAAATACTCTCGATTTTTGAAGAATTGCGTGAAGCAGGGTTAATAAAACGTATTCCAAATGTCTAAACGTGATATAGCTTATGAACACCACAAACCAGCTAGAAAAAATTATACGAGGCGTAGAGTTAATATTTATGACAAAAACGATCTATGGCAGGCAGATTTAGTCGAAATGATACCGTATTCGAAAAAAAAATAAAGGCTATAAATATATTCTATGTGTAATTGATTGTTTTACTAAATTTGCATTTGCAATAGCGTTAAAATCTAAAACTGCTAAAGAAGTTTCCAGCGCAATGTCTAAAATACTGATTAAACGCACACCAAAACTATTACAGCTTGATAATGGTATAGAATTTTACAATTCTACATTTGATGCGTTAATGTCTAAATACAACATACACAAATATTCTACGTACAGTACTATGAAAGCGTGTATTGTAGAACGTTTCAACTGCACATTGAAAGAAAAAATGTTTAGAGAGGTTACGGCACGTGGCTCTCACGAATGGGTTTCTATTTTACAGTCGTTGATTAACGAGTACAACAACTCAAAACATAGGACAATAGGTATGACACCAGTGCAAGCTGATGCAAATCCGGCATCTGTCGTAATTAAACAACGAAAAATTATTAATGGATCAATCAAATTTAACATTGGTGATAACGTTCGTATAAGCACATATAAAAGTGTATTTTCAAAAGGATATTTACCGAGCTGGTCTAGTGGTCTACAGAAATATTCAAAATCGTTAAAATTAATGAAACATTACCTACTACTTATCAACTACAAGATTATACTGGAAAACCAATTGCTGGTTGCTTTTATTCAGAAGAAATATTGAAAACAAACTATCCGAATGACTATTTAGTAGAGAAAATTATCAGTAAGAAGGGGGATCAAATTTTTGTCAAATAGCTAGGGTTTGATAATACACACAACAGTTGGATAAATGTACGTGACATTA